TTCACACCTAAAGCAGCAATAGCAGCAAAAACGTGCGTACTGCTTCATTTTTTATGCTTGTACAAGTTTAGTTCCAATGCGCGGCTGAAGCATCTTTGCTCCTTTTTACAGTAATCCAAACTGCAGACAGCATGTGCGTTCATGTGTTTTGAAGGCGTGGTTTCGAGGGATGGTCTGAAGGGAGAGGCATGGTTGTGTATGTTCAAAAATATTGCTTGCTGGAACCGTTTATACAATATCTCCTTCTGCACCTTTAATTGGCTTCTCTAAATTTTTCTTAGGTGTGTGTGTGAATGGTTGGTTGTCCTGTTTGTCTCTGTGTTGCCCTGCGATGGACTGGCGACCTGTCCAGGGTAGACCCCGCCTCTCACCTGTTGACAGCTGGAGATAGGCACCAGCATCCCTCGTGACCCCTGCTGGGATAAAGAGTGAATATTTGGTTACAAAATGGAGCCGTCTTTGACCATAATTTTCAAATCTAGAATGTAGTTTCATATGTATTATAAGAGTCACCAATGTAGAGTAACTTTCTAAACCCTACTCATAGAAAGCGTTAATGACCCCTTTAAATGACATTTACTCTGGGGAGGTTAAAATGGTTTCATAACAGTATGACTTATAAATGGCTCAAATGGAGTTTGGTTTTTCATATTGCAACAAGTTAATGGGTTTAAATTCCAGCCATAGGTCTGTCTGTATGAGTTAGTATGTTCTCTTACACATGCAGGCTTTCTCTGGGTACTCCAGCTTCCTTCCACAGTCCAATAACATGATTAATAAGTCAATCAGTATATTTAATGGGTCCTTAGGTTTAATATATGTCCTGTTCATCCTAGATGTGATAGCCTGAAAAAACATACATTGTTTGTAGATCAGGGAAAGTCAAGTTTGTTGCACAAGTTTTATTAGAGATGTAGAAAAGTTGTGACCATTTTGATTTTTTTGGGGTTTGGAAATCTAACATGAGATCTTCTTTTCTTCTAATAGGAAGTCATCATGATTCCTTTGGACCACAAGAACCTGGATAAAGATGTTCCCTATTTTGCCAATGTAGTCAGGTGTGTAACCTTCAACAATATTCTCTGTGATTAATGATATAGTTTACCAAATGTTTTGTTTTTCTCTGCTTTTCAGCACGACAGAAAACCTTGCCGTTTATATCTGGGATAACATGGTGAAGGCTCTTCCCGCCAACCTGCTCTACGAGATCCGGATTCATGAGACGGATAAGAACATTGTTATATATCGAGGGGAATAGACAGCGCTGACTGATGCAAAGCTTAGCACTGTTGTTGTGACTCTTACATTCCAAATATTCAACAATTTTTGATAAAGTTTTATTTTTACAAAGTGATCACTGAGATGAACAACCTCACTGCTTTATGGAAGTGTCTTTCTAACCAGAAAGTCTGATCTACATATAAATAACTGTAATTCATTTAGAATGGGCAGCTAATACTTTTATTGTAAACATTCAGTCTTAAAGCTTCAGTCTTTTTCAGTAGGTTTGGAAGTCTATGAATTTAATTTTTGTATTTATGGAATTTTCCTTTAATAGCCAAACTCACATATTTTTCTGAAAAATTACAGAACCAGATCAGCCAGATTTACAGTGACAATTAGCAGCTGTTTTTTTTTTTTTTTAGCACTGTACCTTTTGATTGAATTTGCAGTTTTTTAATGATCACTGTTGTTATTGTGAAACACTTTGGTGAACTCTTGTTGTTGAATCATGCTATATAAATAAAACTGAGATTGACACTAACACACACTAACTAATGTGTTTTTTAATGTGGAATACAGTAAATAATTAAGACCTATAGATACTGGTCCTTTCACAGTTTTGCCACTTCTTCCCTTTTGTAGTTTTGGTTGTTTCAAACAGACGAGGAATGGTGCCTTTCATCCCTGGGTATTTTGTACCAACACTGTAAAAAACAATTAAAGGCTTTTTTGTCTTAAAATAAAAGCTTTTTTTGGAATTGATTATGTAAGTGAGACTCTTTACATTTAAGACAATTTACATTTAAAATAAGAAAAAAACAATTGCATTGTTTTACTGCAAGTGCATTTTGTCCAATTATCTAATTTTAAGAGTAATACACTTAAAGTCATTTTTTACTTATTTCTAGATCGTTTTTACAGTGAACAATGAATTCATTTCTTCCCTCTATAGCGGGTTTGGTCCCCACTCGGTAAACTGTTGATGTCCAGCGATCTTCAATACTCTGTTCATAATTTACTGCTAGAAATGTGGTTCTTTGATAATGCTTCTACTTCTACTACTTTCATAATCCTTCTACACACAGGAAAAGTTATTTTAATTTTATCAGTGGTCATAATCTAGTCAACTGGCCCAAAATAAAACAATCTGAACAAAAATTCATGGAGATAAGAATGATGATTATATTTGTGTGAGATTTGAGCATTAATACAAACATCTCCAATTGATTAAAAATGTATTGTTCTTATTATGCCATGTATGCTGGCATTTTAAAAATGCACAGATCTATACATTAGAAAGAAAAAAACATATATATATATAAATATATATAAAACTGTATATATGTATCTATTTTTCCTGTGTGTGTGAAAATTGGATGAAAAACATAGAAGCTTAATAGGAATATTACTCCACTTTAAGCCAATTTAAGTGCAATTAGAGGGAGAGGAGACAGGGAAAATAATTTTTACTTTATCATATCCCTTTTCAGACAATTTACATTGATCAGTGCCATTTTTCTGGATGTATATACTAACAGGCTTATCTGGTGGAGGGTTTTGTTTCTATTTATCTTCAGGTGAATTTAGTTAGGTTGGAAATTGGTGTTTGGTTTGGTTGAGGTCAACAAGTCTTTTGTGTGTATTTGGTTGATTCTTTTATTGTTTGTCAAATTGTCTGAAAGCAATTGCTATTCATTCATTAATTCATATGTTATAACATTGGCATATAATGAACCATCCATTTTAATATGTGTAAAATGGTTTACTTTTTTTATAATGATGATATAATGATATAAAACATAAATGCCCCACATTAATTTGATAAGTTGCCAATGTAATAATTTATTCATTTCCAAGTGCAGCTTTTGCCACTTTGAATAAAACCTTCTATTAGTTCCTACCCCACTACATTAAAAACATTTGAACGCCCTAATCTTTAAAAAAGTAGGGTTAAGACCTAAAGCTGTTAGTACAAGAGTGGATTTAGCCTCAGAGATGAACTGAACCAGAATCAGACGGTATTTGAATTTAAACTTTAACCCTGAACAGTAGAGAACTTTGAACTCATTTATGTGTCCAATACATTCTTTAACATCAAAACGTTTTAGTTTTTTCCTTACATAGAGCTTGTATCGTTTAAGATAATGAACAAAGCTTACCTGACAAACCCCCACACTCTAATCCATTTATGTATACATTTATTTATTCAATGTGTGCCTTTTCACTTAGATGGTCTTTTTATGCCCAGTCTGTTGATAATCAACCTGTTTAGTTCATATGAACTGTGTTGGCAATCATTAACCTTTAGAGGGCGCCAAAATATTTGAATGTTACATGCTGTTAGTGATTTTAATTAAAAAACTCAAACTAATGCAAGTCTTGGTACAAGACTTAATAATATGAGGGTATTTAAACCTTTACAAGTGCTTAATAAAAACTGAGTAAAATCATCACTAATACCCATAATAATAATAATCTGGTTTCATTAAAGGTCCCTCCTGTTTCCACTTATAAATCCTCTTGCAGACAAACATCCATGTGATATGGCGCTAAAGGGTGTTTAATAATTCCACTGTAACAACAGCGGGTTAATATCTCATGCTGACAGAAAATAACATACGCAATATAATTCATTACAGTTCATTACACAGTGTTTAGTGTGGAATGCATGCAGTCATGGTGTCCTGTCTGTGGAGTTGGAAGAGCTCCAATGGCATAGTACAGTGTAAATACAGGTGGTGGTTCATTCTCAGAGGTCAATATTTAGCTTTTCTATGATGTCAAATGTTTAGTTTGCTTTTTCAACCAAAATGTCATAATCCTTCAAGGTTTTTATGTATAATTTTTATTTTATTTTTTTTTACCAATGCATCATATTGGGAAAAACGCAGACATGCGTTGTTAAGTAAAATATAGCAACAGGATGAATAAATGCATTTGTTTTTGACATAGATCATGTGACATTTATTCTGTAAAGATACATTTTTGTAATGGAAAAAAAAAAAGGTTCACTCAAAAAGTTGAATTAATTTTAACAAATGTAGCCAAATAACTGAAAGCACCTTTTGGATTTCAGTTCAAAAGTTTCAGCATCCAGCCATCAGCTCAAGTGAATTGCATCACATGTTTAAAGTTAGCAGCCATTTTTAGAGTTTTCCTAAAATCTGCTGTTTCTTGTTCTTTAGATTAAAGCCAGTTTTTGCAAAGGCTTTAGAAAGGATGCAAAACAACACACTCTCCAAAGTTTGAGTAAGGAAAACAAAAATATTCTGTTCTTACAGTAAAAAGTTCCAAATGGCTACAATCTCTGCTTACTTGTGATAAAATGTGTTACAGTCAGTTAGAACCAAACGTGTGTACCAAGGTTGTTTCAGCTTTCTTTTTGATAAAATATACAGGTAACCATGTAGATTGTAATTTCAATCCAGGAGAACAAAATGTTGATTATAAAGTTTTAATAGATTACCTAAAAATGAACTAGACTCCATACGTATTTAAAAATGTTAGTCCTGTTGGTTAAGGATCATTAACTTTCAGCCACCGAGTAATAACCTCCCTTAATTACTCTAATATCTCAAAATGTTGATTTGTTCCACAGAAAAAAAAAATGAAGTAAAAATCCTTAACCTTTTATTTATAAAGATTCGCATGGCAAAGCTTCATTGAAAATTTTGCGGTCTACATAAAAAAAAAAAATAAAAATAAAAAAAATTAGCTGAGGGAGCCCCTTTTCCGCCTTTGATAACAGACTGAAAGTTTTTTTATGGATTGAACTTAGCCATTCTTGATCAAAGTAACACTGAGAATCTTCCTGAAAAGCTGCTGCACTTCAACTTCACCATTCCTAAATGATTGTCATTTGACTGTCTGGTTGACTGTTTGTGTTAACAGGAATTTTAAAATGGGAGACACAATAAAGTGACACGTAGGTGTATTTCTAAATATTTTTCAACTTTATGACCAATTATTTGCTCAAAGTTTTAATATTGAGCAAAAGTGACACCAGTTTGTAAGCCTATGTCTTAGCATGTGTAATTACGCGGAAGAACTCATCGGCATCATCTTGGGTTAAAGACCTAATTTTACTACATCTAGCCTCTTTTTAATTTCCTCCTTTGTGTGTCTGTGTGCAGACCATGCCATCTTTCGAAAATGAAAATGAAAGAAATGTTTGGCAGCCATTTTTAGAGTGTTCCTGGAATAATCTGGGAAACTGTGGAAACTGGAAAACTTTGGCTACTTGTCATCCTGCTACACAAATAGCCAAGAACGTGTGTAGCAGGGCCAGCATACTGGGAGGAATACAGTCCAATTATACATATGTGAGCAAAATAATAGAATAGAATAGAATAGATCAGAACAGAATAAAATAGAATAGAACAAAATAGAACCAATCAGAATAGAATAGAATTGTCAGCAGTGGGTGGTGAGGTTGCTTGAGGACCAATATGCAGAAGCGAGTGAAGCTGAGATGAGTTCTGCCAGATTTGATTGAAGAACACAGGAGACAGTGGTAGCAATCCAGAAATCCAACTAAAATGTTAAACAAACCCTGGAGACATCAGGGGAAAACGAGCCTGAGTAACCAGGGAGAGACGAGCTGAGAAGACAAGTACAGCAATGACAAGGAACCAGCACTGAGTGACTGCAGAGGTGGAGTGTTTAAGGAGAACAGAACAACGGATGGACTAATGAGCTGAATAAGGAGCAGGTGTGGGTGGAACTGGCAATAAGGAATCCAAGGGGAGAGAAAACAAGCANGGTTTGGTCCCCACTCGGTAAACTGTTGATGTCCAGCGATCTTCAATACTCTGTTCATAATTTACTGCTAGAAATGTGGTTCTTTGATAATGCTTCTACTTCTACTACTTTCATAATCCTTCTACACACAGGAAAAGTTATTTTAATTTTATCAGTGGTCATAATCTAGTCAACTGGCCCAAAATAAAACAATCTGAACAAAAATTCATGGAGATAAGAATGATGATTATATTTGTGTGAGATTTGAGCATTAATACAAACATCTCCAATTGATTAAAAATGTATTGTTCTTATTATGCCATGTATGCTGGCATTTGAAAAATGCACAGATCTATACATTAGAAAGAAAAAATATATATATATAAAACTGTATATATGTATATATTTTTCCTGTGTGTGTGTAAAAATTGGATGAAAAACATAGAAGCTTAACAAGAATATTACTCCACTTTAAGCTAATTTAAGTGCAATTAGAGGGAGAGGAGACAGGG